AGCGTTGACGATTGATTGGTGCGTGTGCAGAAAAATTCTCCTCGCGTCAATACGTCGATAGAGAATATTTTCACTCGTCAAAGTGTTGCACAAAAGATTGATAACAATTAAACACAAGCACACATTCATAGAAAGTCTAATGGATGAGCAAAGGAGACACAAGGCAAACATTAAACAGTTATACAACTGTAATCTAGGACTTCGCCATGTTGTCTTGGTAAAACGGTTGTCAAACTTCAGCTGCATCTGGCTTGATCCGCTTCATTAAAATAACTGATTTCAAATGACACTTCATCCAAACGCCCCTGCTCCTTTCGCGAGCACTCATGAATTCCCGTTAACATTCATGAAGCGTCGTGTAGGAAAACCGTTTTCCCGTTGTAAAACTGAATTTACCGTTTTGTACCAGAAACGAATTTGTCTCGCTAGGCGCGCGACTTCCCAGCGAAGTATCTTGTTCGCCACGTCACAAAAGTCAAAGCTCGAGATTCAGTTATTCAACTGGAATCTCGAGTCAATCCCGAGCACCCTTCGGGATTCCTTGGCGCCCCCCGAAACCCAAGCGCACCCCTGAGGGGTGCAATCATGCACGACCGACTTTTCGGTTGTGCTGTACAGCGCATTGACGTGCGCTGTCTTGCGCGAGGACAGGGCAGTAATGTCCCCTGTCCTGTTGCGATCGTGGGCTCTGCCACGCTCGCAACAGTGCGAGGCACACGCACGAGGCCTGACGGGCCACACGCGCGTGTCAAGACCCCACACGCGGGTCCCTGACATTCGCGCACTGTACCTTGACCAGTGCGAAATAGTCAAAGTGGCAAAAACACTCGCCACTCACTCAAACGCAGGAGAAAACATAAACTCTCATGAACTCTCATGAAAACTCACTAAAACACATGAGAAACAATGAGCGCACAAGCAAACTCATGAATAATCGCGAACTCATGCGAACTTACCAAAACTCACTCACGGAAACTCATGAACATTCATGAACACACATGAAATGCACTCACATAAAAAAATGCACATAACTTATGAATCGCTAAGACGATTCACAAACCGTAAACGCACAAATGTCAAGCACACAAATGCGCCCCTCACACTCCACAAATTACCTTCAAACAGAAACACTCATTTCCATTTACCGTCGGCGAATAGGCGGTAGGTTGACGTGCAAACTGCGTTTTGCACTCAACAAACTCCCCCTCAACTTGGCGACTATTCAAATCCATAACCACCATCAATGGATCCGACAATTCCCTTCACGGCTTCTATCATTGGCATAGGAACGATATCATCCTTGCCAAACTGCTCCCCATCGACCGGTTTCACCTTATTGCTGATCCCAACTCCAGTTTTCGGGAAGGCACTCCTATGCTCCCCCACAGTTCCAGTTTCCCCCGAACTCAGCTTCACTTTGGGTTCTCCTTTCACCATTAACCCATCAGCTACAAAGCTTCCCGAGTTCTGCATCATTGTCTTCTCCTTAGCAGCTTCAACCCTCGGCTGCACCACGACACAAAGCTTCTACTGCTCATGAGTATCACCCTTGTACACTCCCTTCTCCTTATCCACAGCAGCAACAATGCACTTACTCCCCTTGGATTCTACACCATTCTTCTCATCAGCCGCTGCTGCATTTCCCTTCTGAGCTGCTGCAAGTCGAGCATTAACCTTGTGCAACTCATTCACAAGCACCTCTACGGTAGCTTTCAGCTCCTTGATCATTTCAGCAGCCACTCCACTACACTCCCCTTTGCAGCCGCAGGTCCCATTCTCATTTTCAGGTACCGTCTCACTCCATGGCACCACCGGCACATGCCACAACTCGTCATGCAGGTCCTTGTCTTCATTCAAGTCCCACAGCACTCGATCACCGAGATTCCCCTTGAACGTTTCAGCTCCATTGGTTGCCGTGCACACACCTGCAAGTCCCATCTTCCTTAGGGAGATCAGGTTCCCCTTCAGCTCCGGCACCAAGAGCTCGTCCTCCAAAGTCATCGGCTTCCCGTCAGCTCCTTTGAAGGCTGCCTTGCCGACTCCAATCACCTTCATCTTATAGCCGCATCCTGAATTCATTTCAGTGATGCTCGTCTTCCAAACCTTGTCTAGCAGGTCCACCCTTGGGGTCATGTGATGAGCCGCTCCGGAGTCAAGAATCCACGTGTTGAGAGGATGAGGCACTGCTCCCTCCTTGGCACTTGCATTCTCACTCCCCCCGTTCCCTTGCACATGGAAGAATTGCCCTGGAGCTCTCTCCCAATCATCTTCCCCTCCTCTTGCGGTCTCTGCTACATAACCAACTCCATGATGTTGGTTCTTAGTTCCTCCACCATCCTGGTGTTCGGGAGTCCACCACTTGGGACGTTTCCAACACTTCACCCAAGTGTGTCCCGCCTTTTTGCAGTACCAACAAACTCCCTTGAACTTGTGATAGTCACCACGATCATCCTCATCATCAGCTTCTTCTTTTTCATCACACTTGTTGCTCGGCTTCTTATCATCACGCCAACGTCCATGCCGTCCACTTTCACCACGTCCCCGGTTGTTTACCTTACGCCAACCGCTGCCTTGTACTCCATAGCCACCGTCACCATCATGGTTATGACTCAGCTGCCTCCTCCTGAAGTCTTCCTCCAAGATCTTGGTCCGCACCCATTCAAGCATCCACGATTCCTGGTTTTGAGGCAGGTTTAGCCCACTTGTAAACTGCAGCCATGACTCGGGTAGCAGCGAGAACATGCGTAGACACTTCGTCTTCTCCGGGTAGGTGATGCCCGCAACTTGGAGCTTCGCATATAGCTCCCTCATCTTGTCAAGGACCGATTGAACCGGCTCCCCCTCACTTAGGCGCAATGAAGCCAATTCACACTCCAGCATGAGCGAAGCAACCACCAAGGTTGGGGCGTGCAGCTCCTTTAGCACTTTCCAAGCTCGTGGCCCATTATCAACTTCCCCAAGTAGATGCATCACATGTGCTCTCTGGTTGAGCTCCAACGTCTGCGACAAGAGGTAGTAGCCGGCTGATGCACGCTCGTCCCACTCCCCTTGCAGGACAGGATCACTCGGCCTCTCCTCCTCGCCAATCATTAACTTCAGCAACCCAGCTTGACGGAAGTACAGCTGCATTTTCCATGCCCAATCGTCGTACCCATTGCCGTTGAACTTGTCAACGGTGAAGTTCTTAAGCACCTCCCTTAATAGTGAGCCCTGGCTGATCCGCACTCCCCTTGGCACTGAACCCCCAGTATCTTGGCTTCCACTAGTAGCACGTGCAAGAGAACCTTCCGTTCCGCCCGACTCCATGGTGTTCTAACGGCAAGTTGTCCTAAAAGGACCAAGGACCAGCTCTGATACCACGTGTTGACTGCTATTTGGGACTTAGACGCTCTTAACACACCTTTAAATCACACTAGGAAGTCCCCACGGGGTCACCTCCAAGGGTCCTTGGGTGCCTGGTAGAACCAGCCCCTATCCAAGGGTCCGTGTTTGTAGAGGGATTCCCTAAGTATGAAAACCGTCGTGTGTTCTTAGAGCATTCCCAAACTCATATGCGGAAGCGTTGACGATTGATTGGTGCGTGTGCAGAAAAATTCTCCTCGCGTCAATACGTCGATAGAGAATATTTTCACTCGTCAAAGTGTTGCACAAAAGATTGATAACAATCAATCACAAGCACACATTCATAGAAAGTCTAATGGATGAGCAAAGGAGACACAAGGCAAACATTAAACAGTTATACAACTGTAATCTAGGACTTCGCCATGTTGTCAACTGTAATCTAGGACTTCGCCATGTTGTCTTGGTAAAAAGGTTGTCAAACTTCAGCTGCATCTGGCGTGATCCGATTCATTAGAATAACTGATTTCAAATGACACTTCATCCAAACGCCCCTGCTGACTCCTTTCGCGAGCACTCATGAATTCCCGTTAACATTCAGGAAGCCTCGTGTGGGAAAACCGTTTTCCCGTTGTAAAACGGAATTTACCGTTTTGTACCAGAAATGAATTTGTCTCGCTAGGCGCGCGACTTTCCAGCGAAGTATCTTGTTCGCCACATCACAAAAGTCAAAGCTCGAGATTCAGTTATTCAACTGGAATCTCGAGTCAATCCCGAGCACCCTTCGGGATTCCTTGGCACCCCCCAAAACCCAAGCGCACCCCTGAGGGGTGCAATCATGCACGACCGACTTTTCGGTTGTGCTGTACAGCGCACTGACGTGCGCTGTCCTGCGCGAGGACAGGCCAGTAATGTCCCCTGTCCTGTTGCGATCGTGGGCCCTGCCACGCTCGCAACAGTGCGAGGCACACGCACGAGGCCTGAGGGGCCACACGCGCGTGTCAGGACCCCACACGCGGCTCCCCGACATTCGCGCACTGTACCTTGACCAGTGCGAAATAGTCAAAGTGGCAAAAACACTCGCCACTCACTCAAACGCAGGAGAAAACATAAACTCTCATGAACTCTCATGAAAACTCACTAAAACACATGAGAAACAATGAGCGCACAAGCAAACTCATGAACAATCGCGAACTCACGCGAACTTATCGAAACTCACGAACTTTCATGCGCTTTCACGGAAACTCATGAACATTCATGAACACACATGAAATGCACTCACACACAAAAATTCACATAACTTATGAATCGCTAAGACGATTCACAAACCGTAAACGCACAAATGTCAAGCACACAAATGCGCCCCTCACACTCCACAAATTACCTTCAAACAGAAACACGCATTTCCCTTTACCGTCGGCGAATAGGCGGTAGGTTGACGTGCAAACTGCGTTTTGCACTCAACAGCAGCCCCTGCCCCGCGCGCCACTGCTGCCCGCGAACAGCCCTTGCCCCGCGCGCCCCTGCTGCCCGCAAGCAGCCCCTGCCCTGCGCGCCCCTTCTGCCCGCGAGCAGCCTCTGCCCTAGCGCGCCCCGCAACCCAGCGCGCCCCACAGCCCTAAGTGCGCCAGCGCGCCCCGTAGGCCAGCGCGCCACGCTGCTTAGCGCGCCAACGTGCCCCGCAGCCTAACGCGCCAGTGCGTCCCGCAGGCCAGCACGCCAGGGTGCCCCGCTGCTAAGCGGGCCAGCGCGCCCTGCAGCCCTACACGCGCCAGCGCGCCCCACTGCGAAGCGCGCCAGCGCGCCCTGCGGCCCAGCGCGCCAGCGTGCCCTGCTGCTAAGCGCGCCAGCGCGCCCTGCAGCCCTACGCGCGCCAGCGCGCTCACTGCGAAGCGCGTCAGCGCGCCCTGCGGCCCAGCGCGCCAGCGCGCCCCGCTGCTAAGCGCGCCAGCGCGCCCCGCAGCCCTAAGCGCGCCAGCGCGCCCTGCAGCCAAGCGCGCCAAGATCTTATTCTGCAAAAAAAAAAAAGGAAAAAAAAAATCTTATTATGCTGCCATTGCTGGCACTACTGCTGTTACTGCGCCAGCCTGTGCCCTGATGTCCACGTACTCTACTGGCCTCCATAGTCACTACAGCAGTCGCTACTACTGCCCTTGCGCCACTGCTACTGACCGCCACTGCTACTGACCGCCACTGCCTGTCATGGCCAATATCACGGTAGTCGCAGCGGCTAGGGGTGGACAGCAGCAGCCACTGCCTCACCCGGACACGCTATCCCCGCAGCAGCTTCGCGAGTGGGTTTTTCAGTGGGCCCGTCCAGGTGGTGGAGGCTTTGGTTTTCTGCGTACTGCACAGAGGCGACAGCAGAGTCTGCAGGAGACTTTCTCCCCGCAGCTGCCTAGTGAGTTGGTTTCTCAGCGATGTGTCACTGGTTCTGTAGAGGCTGCTGCTCTAGGTGCTAGTGAGTCTGCTGCCGCACAAGGTGCTAGTGAGTCTGCTGTCGCTCCAGATGCTAGTGAGTTTGCTGCAGCTTTTGGTGCTCATGCATCTCGCGCCCCAGGTCCTGCCTCAGCTGGGGCCTTGCACACTTTCACACTTGACTCAGGCGCGTCACGTTGCTTCTTTCGCGATTGCACCACAGTCACACCACTCGCAGCACCTGTCCCAGTCTCACTGGCTGACCCCACTAGGGGGCCAGTAGTTGCGCGAGCCTCTACTGTCCTCCCGTGTCCGGCAGTCCCCTCCGGGTCTCTCTCAGGTCTCCACCTCCCTGCGTTCTCGACGAACTTGTTGAGCAACGCAGTTCTCCAGGATGCATGGGTTGACACCTTCATTCCTGGAGGACAGCGTGTGGCGATCTGTAAGTGCTCACGGACTGGCCGTCACCTTGCTACGTTCAGTCGTCAGCCTGGGTCTGGCCTGTACACACTGACCACTGCGTCTGCACAGGTGGCTGAGTCAGGTCAGGTGGCTGTGTCGAGTCGGGTGTCTGCGTCTGGTCAGCTTGCAGCGTCTTGCTCGTGTCGGGTACTCTCTCACCAGACTCTCCTCTGGCACCACCGCCTAGGTCACCCCTCGCTGCCGCGTCTCCGCAGCATGCACTCCCGTCTCCTTGTCTCTGGCCTTCCCAGGTCCCTGCCCTCCCTACCGCGCTCGCCTGCACCGCCGTGCCTTCCCTGCGTCGAGGGGCGGCAGCGCGCCGCTCCTCACTTCTCCGAGTTTCCTCCGACCACTGCTCCTCTGCAGACTCTCCACATGGACGTTTGGGGCACGGCCCTTGTCAGTGGGACGGACCAGGAGCGCTACTTCCTGCAGGTTGTTGACGACTACACACACTACACCACTGTCTTCCCCTTGCGGCGCAAGGTGGACGTCAGCGGTGTTTTGATCCCCTGGATCCGTGCTACTCGTTGCCAGCTGCGCGAGCGGTTTCGTCGGGACTTCCCAGTCCTGCGTTTGCACTCTGACAGGGGCGGTGAGTTCTCTTCTGACCTCCTTGCGGAGTTCTGACGAGACGAGGGCATCCGCCAGTCGTTCACGCTTCCGGCCTCTCCTCAGCAAAATGGGATTGCTGAGCGTCGTATTGGCTTGATCATGGAGGTTGCTCGTACCTCCATGATCCATGCGGCTGCTCCCCATTTTCTGTGGCCGTTTGTGGTCCGATACGTTGCGCATCAGCTCAACGTCTGGCCCCGTGTCTCTGAGCCAGAGACCTCGCCCACACTCCGGTGGACGGGGAAGTTTGGCGATGCGTCAGTGTTTCGGGTCTGGGGCGCGCTCTCCCTTGTTCGCAATGCCAAAGCGAGCAAGCTCTCCTCTCGCACTCTCCGCTGCGTCTTCCTTGGCTTCCCCACCGACGCCCCGCCGTGGTAGTTCTACCACCCGCGCTCGCGTCGCGTCTTCTCCTCCCAGGACGTCACCTTTGACAAGTCTGTCTATTCTACAGCCTACACCTGCACGCGTCCCACCCGGTCCCCCTCGCGCCTCTCTTCCTGGTACCAGTCCCCCCCCCAGTAGACCCCCTCCCCCCACAGGGTCCTGCTCCCTCAGGTGTGTCTCAGGTAGAGCCACCCCCCTTAGTTGAGCCTTTGGAGATCTCTTCTGACTCCTCTGGCCCAGCTGAGGGGGGTGACCCCACCGCTGACGACACGGTGGCCACTCGCCGCTCTCCACGCTTGGAGACCCCCCCTGGTTTTTCGCCTCGGCCGTCTTCGCCGCCTCCGCAGCCTGCTGCTGCGGACTCTGGAGCTGAGACTGCTGGTGCTGAGTCTGGGGGTGCTGAGACAGAGGGTGAGGGTTCTGGGTGTGTTGCTTCTGGGGGTGCTGCGACTAGGGGTGCTGGTTCTGGGGGTGCTGCGACTGGGGGTGCTGACTCTGGGGTGCTGCGAGTCCTAGTGGCGGTGGAGCTGTGGGTGACCCTGCTGGAGGTCCTGGAGCTGGACAGCCACCTCAGCCTGATCTACGAGACGCTCTCGCCGCAGGCGATTCGTGCGTGGATCGTTCGGCGAGGTAGTCCTGGTGGTGGAGGGTACGGTCCTGCTGGAGCTGGAGCTGCTAGTGCTGGAGGTACTGGAGGTGCTGGAGGTGCTGGAGCTACTAGTGCTGGAGGTGCTGCTGGTGCTGGAGGTGCTGGAGCTGCTAGTGCTGGAGGTGCTGCTGGTACTGGAGGTGCTTGAGGTACTGCTGGTGCTGGAGGTACTGGAGGTGCTGGAGGTGCTGGAGCTACTAGTGCTGGAGGTGCTGCTCGTGCTGGAGGTGCTGGAGCTGCTAGTGCTGGAGGTGCTGCTGGTGCTGGAGGTACTGGAGGTGCTGGAGGTGCTGGAGCTGCTAGTGCTGGAGGTCCTGCTGGTGCTGGAGGTACTGGAGGTGCTGGAGCTGCTAGTGCTGGAGGTGCTGGAGCTGCTAGTACTAGAGGTGCTGGAGCTGCTGGTGCTGGAGGTACTGGAGTTGCTGCTGGTGCTGGAGCTGCTATTGCTGGAGGTGCTGCTGGTGCTGTAGGTGCTGGAGCTGCTAGTGCTGGAGGCCCGGCTGGTGCTGGAGGTGCTGGAGGTATTGCTGGAGGTGCTGGAGCTGCTGGTGCTGGAGGTGCTGGAGTTGCTGCTGGTGCTGGAGGTGCTGGACCTGCTGGTGCACTTCGCCACCTTCTCGGTCTTCCGCCAGCTCCTACTGAGTTCCCTGTCGCTGGTACTACTCCGCCTTTACTATTCCCACCAGCAGACCTGTCTCAGCTACAGCTACTCCCACACTCCCCACTACCCACTCCTGCTCCTTACACTGATGTGACAGAGTCCCTGACTGAGCGTCGAGAGCGTGAGACTCGTGCTTCCACTCCTGAGCGTCGAGAGCCTGAGACTAGACCTTCCGTTCCTGCTCGTGTTCGTTCTCCAGCTGTCCCAGGCACTCACGACATGACACTCCGTCCTTCCTCTGTTCCACAGCGTGTTGTCCTACCGTCACCTCCAGCGTCTTCTCTTCCTGACGTTGCTGACCCTCCGTCTGACTTTACTCGTCCTTCCAGTCTGACTGTCACTCGCTTGCTTGCTACAGTTGTGATGGACGCTACGTTCTCGTCTCCTGCTGCGTCTGCCTTAGTCACTGAGCTTATTGACTTTGCTGCTGCACACCGCCTAGACTACCTTGCGAGTCTTGTTTCTGACCCTGACCCTGCCTGTCCTCTGTCCGTCGGGGATGAGGTTGCCCTTGGCTGTGACGCTCTTGAGGACAGACAAGAGGAGCTGGAGTGTCTTGCGGCCGCTGCACCTCATCTTGCGACCATGCTGCTTGCCCCTGAGGGAGACCCGAATGCATTTGACATCCCCACCCCACGCTCTTACAGAGAGGCAATCTCGGGTGAATAATCATCTCAGTGGGAGACAGCCATGGATGCAGAGATGGCTTCCTGGAAGTCCACAGGCACCTACGTCGACGAGGTCCCCCCACCTGGGGCGAACATCGTCAGTGGCATGTGGATTTTCAGGGTGAAGCGGCCACCGGGTTCTCTGCCTGCCTTCAAGGTACGTTATGTTGCTCGAGGTTTCAGTCAGCGTGAGGGGGTCGACTTCTTTCAGACCTTCTCCCCCACCCCAAAGATGACCACTCTTCGGGTGTTGCTACACGTTGCAGCTCAGCGTGACTACGAGCTGCACTCCCTCGACTTCTCGACAGCTTTCTTGCAGGGTAGCCTTCACGAGGCCATCTGACTGCGCCGTCCACCTGGCTTCACTAGGTCGTTTCCTGAGGGTACCCAGTGGAGCCTACGGCGACCAGTGTACGGCCTCCGTCAGGCACCTCGCGAGTGGCACGACACACTGAGGACGACACTTGCGGCTCTTGGGTTTGCTCCTTCGACTGCTGACCCGTCGCTGTTTCTGCGCACCGACACTTCGCTGCCGCCGTTCTACGTTCTCGTGTACGTCGACGACTTGTTTTTTGCTACTACTGACACAGAGGCGCTGGCCCTAGTGAAGGCGGAGCTGCAGGAGAGACACACCTGCACTGACCTGGGTGAGCTGCGGAGCTATCTTGGCTTGCAGATCACCCGGGACAGACCACGGCGCACCATCACCCTGACTCAGTCAAGCATGGTGCACCAGGTCCTCCAGCGCTTTGGCTTCCAGTACTCCTCGCCACAGCCCACTCCTTTGTCTACCAGTCATTCGCTCTCAGCTCCACCTTCGGACGAGTCCGTAGAGCCGAGTGGTCCGTACCCAGAGCTAGTGGGTTGCCTCATGTACCTGATGACGTGCACACGACCTGACCTCTCGTACCCTCTCAGCCTCCTGGCTCACTACGTGGCACCTGGTAGACACCGAAAGGTGCACTTTGATGCTGCGAAGAGGGTAATGCGTTACTTGTGCAGTACATCGGGCATGGGGCTCGCGCTTGGAGGACGGGGTTCAGTGGTCCTCACAGGACACTCCGACGCTTCTTGGGCCGATGACCAGGCGACTCAGCGTTCGTCACAGGGTTACACCTTCAGTCTTCGCTCTGGTTCTGTCTCGTGGAGGTCCACTCGTTCTTCTTCTGTGCTTGGCTCCAGCTGTGAGGCCGAGATCTACGCCGGGGCCATGGCTGCACAGGAGCTACGCTGGCTGACCTACCTGCTGACCGACTTGGGGGAGCGG